GCAATGTCAAACCACTTCTGGATCATCTGCCAAGAACTTATATGAACAGGTCCCAGTCCGAGAAAAGGATGGAAGGATCCTGTTCATATGGACCTGTCGTCAGACAGAACACTAAATAATAATAAGATGAGGTGGTCTAGGCAACACGGAGTTTTCTTCCGTGGCATCCCAACAATTACTCCATACTCCATACACACAGAAGAAGGCAATGGCAAAGCACTTCTGGATCATCTGCCAAGAACGTATATGAACAGGTCCCAGTCCGAGAAAAGGATGGAAGGATCCTGTTCATATGGACCTGTCGTCAGACAGAACACTAATAATTAAAAAAGTTCAGACCAGTCTTAAGAAGCACAGAAAATAATTTTAAGCTGATTTGCATGTACAGGTTTCATACCGAAAAGTGAGCAAAATGTATTGAAGATAGAAACATGTTTATAAATTATAAGAATGTGATAAGTGAGGATGGTACAAACTTTGCAGAGACTTCAGGCCAGAAAAGTAAACAGTTAACAACATGTGATATTACACAACTCGCCGTACCACCGCCATGACCTTTTGGAAGAGGGGTGCATTGGAAATAACACAGTTTCAACAAACATTCTGTTCACTATCATGCATAAAGATGATTTGCTGCCTGAATGATCAGGATGATCGCCCTGGTCATGAAGATATGAAGTATCTCTGAACCATCGGTAAATTTCTGCAACAACCCGGAAGACAGCAATCCTCAAACCATTTTCTAGTTTAAACATAGAAAATATTATTATCACTATTAATATTCGTATTAATAATGATAATGCACCAAACATCTCCACATTTAATTACGAATTATGTCACAAGAATATTTATACACACATTAAATGAATGAAATCTAAACCAATACATACATCAGCATCGGGACTTGGTAAAATAACGAGTCGAATGTATTTGTTTAAAATGACCTCCGTTAAATTCGTGGCGCAGTTGGCAGCAATGAGCATCTGACTGTCAGGCGATCACCAAAAGTACTGATCTGTATACATATATTTCGGACATTCTGTATGTATTTATTTACTTTTTATCACAAAGACCCCGTGACCTTGAAACCTTAATTTGTGAGCAAAAATACGTAGTTACATCACACCTTATCAGCTCACATTCACTACCAGATACAACTGACTTAGAAAAACAGTGTTAGTCACTACTCGATGTTTAACACGAGATTTCATCGTTAAACAAACGGGCAGTAACACGTGCTTATTGGGTCGTCCTTGCACTCTGTTATGCAGTTGCATATTATCAAGATGAGATTTGATAACTACAGTCAGAACCAGAAAATCCCTGCGAAAATTCTTTTTATATCTTAGAAATTATCACAAATTAAACCGTCTGTTTTGACAGTCTGAACCCGGGAGGAAGGCCGATGTGTGGAGATCACGGCTGGCCTGCAATCTGATTTCAATGGGTAAAAATTTCATTATCGGAAATAAATTCTTTACGAACAATCGTGGCACGAATTCATAACTAATTCCATGGCTCCTTCAACCTACATCCAATATGAGTGTTCATATTTAAACTGTTGGTTTTACTACTATTTATGTAAATAAGACGAGAAAAGTTTCAATGAGACTAAACTACATTGAATTATGTCCCTTACACTGTGTAAAATACTTAAATTCTCGCGATTTCTATGTCTCTATTTTAATAACTCTGGTACTAAAAATATTAAAGCGACTGAAACTAATCTGTAATTCGGTAATAGATAAGTCAGTCCTAACACTCGATTTTTCTATCAATGCTGAGTAATACAAGTCGGAGAAACCCCGTTTACTCAATGAGGCAAGTTTTGGTTATTATTAATTCAATTTACTGTGACGAGCGAACATAAAATATCTGTCATAATTAACAGAAAATAAAATAAGTAATATAAATGGAAGATTTTTGTACGCAGTTCGGACTATTTTGTTGTAATTTGTAATAAAGGTTGGAAATCGCTTTTAAAATTCAATTTTGTTCTCGTCGGAATCCGTAGAATCCCAAATGAAAACTGATTCAGCCAGTATTTAAGCAATGATGGTACTTGTGATCACTCAACGTGTACTATATACTTTGAACCTATTTTTACATAACCCTGAGAAATGCCTGATGCAATGTAAAAGTTTTATTCGATAAGCAACTATCCTTCATCGCTGCCATTTAAGTGGAAGGGCATCGGAGAATGTTTTATTACTGATATCAGCGTACTAATTGGACAACGATGTTGAAAGGCGAATCGAGGGGGACGGGCAGAATCTAAAGAACAAATATTAAGTCATTGACATATTTTATTTTAAATACGA